CCCACGCCTGGGATCCCCCTCAACCCCCTCCTCGGGGCACCCCCCACCGTGGACCTGCCCCCGCATGCCGGAGGGATCCCCCTTGTCTCCACAAGGGCCCCATAACCAGACCCCCCAACCCCCGGGCCCCTTTATCCCAAATTACCCCCAGGAGTGGGATGCCAAGCTCCCACCCCTAAAGGCCCCATATCCAAACGCCCCTTCCCGGGACTCCCCCCCTAAATAGCCCCGTGGCCAGACTCCCTCTGACTCCCTCCCCCCAAAGGACCCCATATCTTGACTCACATTCACACCCCCCGCAACAGGACTCACATCCAGACCCCTCCCGAGAATCTCACAACCCCCCCCAAAGGACCCCAAACCCACATTCTCCCCCTAAAAAGCCCCAAATATCCAGATAACCTGCTCAAAGACCCCACATCCATGCCCTGTCTTTCCCCCCCCCACCTCGGGGAATCCCCCCTATTCCCCCCAATACGGAGCTCCCTCCTCCCACACCAATGTCACCCCAAACAACCCTTACAGGCTCCAACCTCTCCCTAAGCAAAACGCCCGGGAGAGGTCGGGGCGGGACAAAATCACCCCCCCGCTTCCCCCAAGGGCACCTTGAAGCCCCCCAGTTTCAGCGGCATAATGTGGAGTTGGGTTTTGGTGCGGGGGACACACAAAGGCCGCCCTCCAGGCCACCAGTGGCCCTAGGGCCCGGGTGTCCCCCCCAGCCGGAGGTGGGTGGGCGCGGGGGGTGCCCCCCCAGCGCGGGTGGGCGGCGGGCGGCTGGCGCTGCTGTTGCCATGGGGACCGTGGGCGGCCGGGGGGGCCGGGGGGGCCGCGGGCCCGGTGTGCGCATCAGCACCGGGAGATGTCGGCACTGGTGGAGGGGGAGAGGGGGAGAGTGGTGGGTGACATCTCGGGGGTGGTATCCCCAAAGCACCCACCATGTGAAACCTAGCCAGCTTTGGGGATCCCATATCCACCCCCCTGCCCCAAGGACACAAAAACCCAGCACTTCTCCCCAGGGATCTCATATCACCCCACAAGGACTCCAAAATCCAGCCCCCCCCGGGGTTCCACATTTCAACATCCCCGCGCCCGAGTAACCCATAAATCCAGCCCTCCTCGCAGTATTCTTTATCTAGCCCCTCCCAGGGATCTCAAAATTCACTCCCTCCACCTCCAGGAATCCAATATCCACACCCTGAAGGACCCTCAAATTCTAGTCTCCCCAGGAATCCCGTATCTACCCCAACGTCCACCCTTGCGTCTGCAGCCCGTGCTGGCAGACAAGACACCCCAGGCACCCTGCCTGGGTGTCCCTGCCCTTGTCCCATAAGCAAGATGAAGGTGGAGAATTGGGCACACTCATCTCCCCAGGGGTGGCACCGAATCACTCACAGGCCCCACGGTGAGACGTGTTTATTGCAAACTGGGGGTGGGGAACTGGACAAGGTGATGGCCGGGGACCCCCAGCCCACACACCCCAGGGTGGAGGGCTGGTAGGAAGCTGTGAGAGCCAGGCTGAGCCTAGGTGGAGCCTACTCTCCTAGGCAGTCCCCACTCTCAGACCCCCAAGTACCATGCCAGAGAAACCCGTATATTTCTCAGGCTCCTGCGCAGCTGCTGGCTACGAGGGGTGGGCCTGTAGCCCTCCCCAAACGCCAGTGCCGTGGGGAGCACCCCTGCTGCTCCCTGATGAAGGGGGAGCAAACCTTAGGGGATGGCTGTGGTCTCTGCCCACTCCTGGGTGTCCTGACAACCCTCCTTCGAGGTGAAGGAGGGGGAAGCCAGGAGGAAGCTTCCCCTGGGGCTGGGTGGAGGCCAGGGGCAGCACAACCCCCTTGGGATACCCTGGAGTGGGGTTGGCGAGAGGATTTGGGGATGCCAGGTGGGAAGGGTGCTGGCAGAGGCAGGCAGAGGCAGGCTTCCCCATCCCCACTGCCCATAGCCAGCACCCATCTCCACCTGCGAGGGGCAAAGCTGCCCAGTATACCAGGATAGGGAGGGCTCCACATCCCCAGAAACCCCAAAAGCAGTATCCTCATCCACTAAAAAACATAATTACATCACCCAACTTGACCCAGCGTGCTCCCTCTATTCCAGAAAAACATGGAGCGTCGGCAGCGCAAGGGGAGGGGAAGGGAGGGGAAGGGAGAAGAGGGGTCCTGGTGCCCAGGTTGCTGTGGTGACAGGATGTAAATCTGCCCGCTTCCTCAGGCTTCCCCACACAGCATGGATGGGTGTTGGCAGCGTGGATCAGTGAGTCCTGGGCACTGGCACTGGGTGTGAGGGTCCTGGTGGGCATCCAGGGGTGGGGAGGTCTCCTCTCCCTGCTTTATTTTTCAGTTGTTTTTGCCACTGTCAAAACTGGACGGCGCCAGGGGAGATGTTGAACATGGAGGGGTCGAATTTCTGGCCACGGAATGGCGAGCCCTCGGTGTCCCAGCCCTTCTTTAACATCTCATGCACCTTCTGTAAAGAGGCCGCAGGCTTCCGTAAGCCTGGGGTGACACCACAGTGTTCCCCACACCCTTTGCTCTCCCCTGCAGCTCATCCCACAGGCGTTGGGTCTGCATGGCCACCTGACCCGTGGGAAGGGATGTGGGAAGCAGTCCCCCTCCTCCCTGGCTGGCAGTAGTCATTGCCAAGGGCACACACCACTTCTGTGCTCCCCCTTGCTGCCTGGGAAAGGGCAGACAGCACCCAAGGCAGCACCAGGCAGCTCCTGGCAGACCATGTGGGTCCAGCCCTGAGCAGGGCCAGCTTGGCAGAGAGCTGCAGGGATGTGGGGCCCATTCCTGGTACAGGGGGTCTGGGCTTACAGGCACTTGCCAAGGTGCCAGGAAAGGGAAGACAGGAGTGCATGGCAAAAGATTGCTCAGAGCCCCCAAATGTTAATGTGGGGGGACACTGTGAAGAGAAGCTCTGAGATGGAGCAGAGCCATGGGGCCCCTTTTCCTGGGGATGGGACCCTTGAAGGGCAGGTGGGAGGGCCAGGCTGAGCCGGTAGCACAGGGTAGCCAGCACCTACCAGCTCATGGCTCTGGGGCTTGCCCTGCAGCTTCTGGTGGTAGTCAAAGGTGAGGCGGTCAAGCACAGCGTGCTCCTCCTCGTCCACAGTGGCCATGGAGCGCTCTTTGTTGATCTTGTCAATGTCGATTTGCTCCTCGCCCTCTAGGATGGCATTCCACCAGTACTCGTCCCCCTTGTTCAGGTTGATCTGAGGACAAGGTGTGGGTCAGTGAATGGGGAGAGGAGCCTCTCTCCTGCCCAGAACGTGGTACACCTGCCCACCTCACAGCTCCACGGGAGAGATGCAGAGCTCGGCTGTCAGCAGCTGGGGCTTGCCCACGAGTGGAAGTCAAGCTCATACTGATCCAGCCTCACAGCTGGCAGAGGGGGAGGGATGCTTGTGCCTCTCTCCCTCAGCAGCCAAAGGCTTTGCACAACCCTGCTGTGGGCCCCCACAGCCCCAGATCAGGCCCTGGGGATGAAATCTCAGCCTGCACTACAGCTCAAAGTCAGGAGCAGTGTCCCCCAGCAGGGCCTGCCTAGAGGTGACACTGGCTTGGGGCTGCATGGCTGACACACCAGCAGTGACAGAGCCCAGCACTGTCAGATGAGAAGGCTGTGTCCGGTGGAGTGTAGGGCCAAGGTTTCTGGTGTGGTAATGCAGCCATCTTGCCTTTCCCTAACCTAGAAGGAACCTAGGAAGAAACCTAGAAGGAACCTTGGCCTCAGCTCCCCTGACACTGGTTCAGTGGGCGGTGGCAGCATGGGTGGCAAAGGAGGCAAGGATATCACCTGCTGCTCTGTGCCACCCCTGACTGCCAGCACCTGCTTCCTGTGGCACTGCAGCTCAGCAGCAGCCCCAGAGGGATGGACAAGAAGAGGGGATATCCCCTCGCTCCAGCCAACATCCTCACTGGGAAAGGCCACCAGCTGTAGGCACAGGCATCCCTGATGGCAGTGCCTTGAATAGAGCTGGCTGGCCAGCAGGGCTGTGCTGGGGCCAGCATGGGGCATCCTGCAACAGGAACTCCAACTTGCTTTTAGTTTTTCGAGGAAGAGTGGGCTGCTTCCTCCCATGTTATTTTAGCACTAATCCCAGCAGCAGGGCAGATTTATGGCATTCGTCGGCCTCTGCAAAATCATCAATAAAGGCAGACAATACAATTTGCTCAAACCTCCCTGGAAGCTCAATAGCTCCAGAGGGGAGAACACGGACAGCCATTCCTGTTACAAAGCCAAACTTCTCTGTGGTGTGAAGAAAAGGAACCAATTAATACAGGAGGGGGTGGCTGAGGTTTAATCCTTCTGGGAGAGCAGAGCCGGTAAAATATTCCAGCTTGGGGAAGGCGTTAGTTTTTCCAGCTAGACAGACATGCTTGTTCTCTTTTTAATTGCACAGTTCCACTTTGGAGGGAAGGGAGAGCCACTGAGGGTTTGCTCCTGGGCTTCCCAACCCTGGGTGGGCAGGTGGGGGAGTGGTGGAGCTCCCAGAACGTCACCCTGAGACAGAGAGCTAAGTGGAGGGGCAGCAGCCCTGAGTGTCCCACACTTGCAGCAGGAGCACCCTTCAGGCTCCTCAGGTTTGGAACACGAAGGATGCCCCCATGGCGCTGATGCCAAGGTGTGAGCTTCCCTAGTGAGGGCTCCAAGCCATGCTCACATGGCATTGCTGTGAAGCATGCATGGCTTGGGATACCCCTACCAGGGCCAGCCTGCTGGCATTGGGGTGTGTTGGAGGAGATCAAGCATCACCCTAACTCCATCCCAGAGCACTGGGGGATGGAAAACCCATCCTGAAGCATCTAGGATGGAAATCCATCCTACTCCCTTCCCTACCAAACCCCTGTCCTTTGCTGGCACCCTGCCACCATCTGCACACCTCT